GTCGAGCGCGTGAACAAGTTCCACGTTAAAGATTCCTACAAGTGGCCACTCCCACAGCGCACTACTTTCCACACACATATGTGGCTTCGCCCCTTCCATAAGCAGTTGTGAAAAAGGAGGTCAAAAGGTGTTTTTTTGCAGTTTCATTTTTTGCACAAGAGCTTCGTACGTGGTCCTCTATGGCGTGGACAACAGAATTTGCGGCAAGGAGTCGGTGGTCTTGGTGCTTTTAGCGACTCGAAACCTACGATGTCTCGAAAGAAGGGATTTTCTGACTACAATGTGATCAAACTATTATTTTGATGCGCAGGGTGGGTCAAAATTGTGGTAACCAAACAAATATAACGTAGAGCCGCTCAAAGAGTGTCGCCGGAATGATGGTTCGTTGATGTCAATTCCGCTTCAGCAACGGTCCTCAGTATTGATGCACTATGCTTTCTAGTGTTTTTAATCCTCAAGTCTTAAAGAATCAGGATTTTCCAAAAGAAAAAAATTTTCGAGGCTCACCATTGATTTTTTCTGGCAAAGAAAGAAGAGAAGCACGAAAAACGTTCCGGCGAACACTTTCTGACCGCTACTGTATACGCCTAAGGTAATGAATATTAGCTTGATGAAACAAGCAGACTTTAAAGAGTGCCGTCACTCATATCACAAAACAATACCAGGTTGGGATTTCGAATGTGTAACCTTTATATAGGAGTTGAGTCAAGTAGGAACCGGCGGGCACAGGGGTGGCACGCATGCGTGATAATGCCCAGAATGATCCTGAGTTTCCTGCTGCGCCTTTCCAGAGAGACACATTTCTTCGGATTCGTTTTTGGTTCTTCTCTGGTTCAGTTTTACCACACAAGAAACTCAGCAAGGGGTTCACTGTGGAACATTTGTCAGAAAACCTCAAAACCAAAAATCTTTTCGCAGAATTTTTGCTTTGAACGAGGTGCACTGCGCTTTCGAAAAGTTTAAAGTGAAGTTTTCAAGGAGCTTTTTGTTTTTATTGGAAATAACCCTCAATCTTTATCGGGTTATTGATAGTGAACTTTTACATGTATAAATTTTATTTCATGGTACGGGAATCTGTGAAATGATATTGAGTTTCTATACCTCAATCAGTGTTTGTAAAGACTTTAGACTTCAAGAATCTCCACCTTTTCAATCTGAGGCTGTTCTGAACTTATCAATGACAAGGGCCGATATGAGCTTTCATTGATAGGACGAATCGACGCCACAGCGATTCCAGGGATAGGAATGCGTAGTCAGTGATCTTACACTTTTGCGGGCTGAATGAATTTGGTATCATATGTAGTAAGAACGACATCATACCTATCGATAAAAGCACATGCAGGCAAGAAAAATTTGTAATCAGAAAAAGATTCGCTTCAGCTCACTTCGCTCACTCGCTGTTAAAATAAGTGTGGCCCGCCCGTAGAATGCAGTTTAATTACAGTACCCTCAACCTCACTGTATTTATCTGTCCGCCCTGTTCGCTATTACGAAGCATGTAACGCTAAAACGCTAAATTATACATCTGACTTGCATCCAGGACTGCTTTGAACTTCCCATGGAACTCCGGGAGGAGACCTAGATGTATCGATAGAGTCTTGAACGCTGATTAAAAACGATGGACACGAGAACTGCTACGTGAACTTTCTTAGAAAGTTATAAGCCTTCAAATTAGGCAAGAAACGTTACTGAGGCGAGCTTGCCTGGTGGAATGACAGTCGCTGGGCTCTGCGTCAAAAACTAGTCTCATATTCGTAATCAGGGCACCCATTTACTCTTACAGAACAGTTCCAGGCAAAAAGCAACCGTGTGTTTTCACATAGGTTGCATCTCACTGTTCTCTCACATACATTATACGAAGTTATACGACTTTTGAGGCTCACAATTTTCTTACAAGGTTAGCGTAGAAGTGTCCATAATTGTAATCAGCGTACAAGACTCTATCGGTACCTTGGTTTCTTTCCGAAATCCATGGGAACTTCAAAACATTTCCTGGTAAAAACGATGAAATACAGGGAATCGAGAACAGTACGGAAACGTATTCCTCGAACCATAAGGGTGCTATCGGCGCTTCTTGCCACTGCTTCAAATTTATCCATCACCTATTTCTTTACCACTATTATGGAAAATTACACAGCATTACAATAGCAGGGCCACTACCATGAGTGGTACGAGGACGTAAGAGGCGAAATCAAAACTCATATTCACGTGCTCGTTGGGGCACAAGAGCCTAAAGTTTGAGATAGAATACCTCTTTTTTTCGCGCCTATGATATGCCTCCCCTTGAAACCGGTTGCCTTCACATACACCCCATTTTTGGCTTTAATGGCTATTACATTATAATTGCAGCGCATCGTGGACGGTAGCACCGTAGCATCAAGATGTCCTATAATAACACGAAATTCTATTATTTCGCTTAGCGTTGACCCCCAGCGAGGATCCTATGTTCTTCCCATTTAAAGGGCAAGTATCGTTCATTTGGAAGCACACTGAGCAGTACAGCCTTAGTGCTCTCCTGTGCTTATCTTCCTGTCGCAATCACCCACGTAGTGCAGTTATAATGGCTGTTGCGTGGCAAGCAGGGTGAATGACGGAGGCAAAAGGAGATCCTTGACCATGGCTTTGTACTGAGGGAGGACAGTGTCGAGAGTGAATATATAAGCGGAGGGCAGAGACGGCTCGCGCGTGGCGAAAGTGAGCGTCCGCGCGGGAGAGCGTGGCCTGACAAGCGAAATTCTTTGACGCGATACCTCGACTAACCTCGACCGACCCTGGTGGCAAGGGCTACATGCTTTCCAGCCCCATAAACAATCAAAGTCATAAAAAAAGTAATGCCGCTTTGGTGCTTGCGCCTTTACCGTGTCTATCCCATTTCGCCCGCTTTCTTGCCCGCGGTTTTCGACATTGTAAGCTTGCGCAAATCCTCTGACCAACAACAGGAAGTTGTATTATGTGCCTAAAAAATTAGCCTTTTCTTCATTCATCAAATAGCTCCTAAAATCTCACTTTCGGACCCAGATAACTAGTGTTCTGGAATACGCCTTTGGGTAGGTAGTGGCCGGCGAAGTTTTGCCGAAAACCACCGAAATTTTCGTCGTGTAGGGAATCAGCCGAGCCGAGCAGGTGTTCTCGCATATCGATTGAGGTAAACAGTCGTTGGCACTCATCTATTTCCTCTGTTTATTGATCTCACCTTTTACAAAAACTTCTTATCAGTTGACATTAGCCCACTTTCGAGTGTACCCTGCGCTTGACATATTTGCTCTCCCCTGTTCGACTCTGAAGGCCACATGAAATTAACACATTCACGACGACGCCCCTTTTCCACTTTTCGGTCGCGTGGGACGGACGCGATTTTGTGGGCGCCGCCGCCTCACCACATAACCGCAGATTTTGTTTTGTAAATGAACAAAAACATGAATGTCACAAAATAATTTCTGCAATGTCCAATGCGTAAAGATTATCTAAACATATAACAGTAGGATTTCGATCAGAACGACAAATAGTGGTTACGAAAAGAGAGCATTTATTCACTTTCCCCGTGAAGGAATTTAAAAGCATTTTACACTCGATTACGAGGTTTGCCCACCTATCTGTCCATTCCTAGCGCCTGGCAAGCGATTATCAGTTGGCAGCCCATATGGGCTGCCATCGTCCCAGGAGCGCATGTTGTTGGCAGCCCATATGGGCGGCCATCGGCGTGAATGTGTTAAGTACTGAGAGGTGATCAGTGATGCAGGGTGAAGGAAAACCAAGAAAACGACTCAGAACACGAGAAATATGTAGACCACCCTTTTACCCAATGATTAGGGTGTTAGGCATGTCTCATCGACGCCAACCTCCTCAACGTCAAAGCCCTGTCTGCTTAAAGCAACAATCCAGGAACGAATTCGCGGGTAAGGACCACCTATAATGACGTTGCAGGTGAGAAGTTGGTCAATGGAGAAAGAAAAAGTAGAAAAAAACGTCGGGCAGGGGCTTAGACAGGGACTCCCCCTGCCGTTTAGGGAGACGTGTGTTGGACGAGTTGTCCGAACCTGCCCGTAGTACATGCGCTCCAATTGCAACTGCTGGCAAATAGCTGCATGCTTGCAAATACATAACTATTTGCCAGCAATCGAAATTGAAGCGCTTCAATTGCGTTCTTATGGAATCGACCTCATACAGCGCGGCGGTCCCGCAACGACCGCTAGTCGAGCAAGCGCTCTGCACAGCGTATGTTGGCGATCCGCCTCTTTATGGGTGATCCGCCCCCTCCAAGAGGACTTCGACCCCTTCCAGCGCATTTTAGAGGTAGGTTTTGAACTTAAAGACATTTCCTATAAACTTTAGTTGGGCTGGGGCATGTTTTGACCGCCTAATGACCAAGTAGTTGAAACCCTGCCTGGACTGTTGCTTTAAGGAATCTTCCGCGGAAAAAGCTCCGCCTCATTACCACAGAAAAACGATACCTTAGGCCCCTAGCCTCATGAGCATAGCAAAAAGAACGGAACATAAGCGTTAGTTTCGATAATACTAATCCTACACACAAGACAAAATGATCACTCTTTCCGTTCCTTCTTTAAGGTATCGTTTTCTGTGGTAATGGGGGTGGAGCTTTTTCCGTGGAGGATTTCTTTAAGGGTTAGCGTGAGACAGCAAGAGGGGGATTGCCGCGTCGGTAGCGGCGGGGGTCAGCCATGGCTAGATCGGCGAGGGCATATCGTCGAAGTGGTCCGTCTGCCTTTGCACCAGGTGGACTTCCTACTCTCCGACCTCCGACCTTATCGTAGGAGCCTCCCTTAACGCCGGAATGGTACCATGAAATGTTGTGCAAAATAAAAACAAGTTTTATCGCACAACAGTACAGGAATTCGAAAACAGACGATCAAAGAAACTTAACAAAAACAATCACATGAAAATTCTAGAAAATTTACATGCTTTGATTTATTGCGCAGCTTAAATGATGTTTTATTGCTCACTCATTTTTCGTTAAAGTAGTTAGTCTTTGAGGCGCTGAACTATTTGGCGTCGACTTCCACATTCACTTTTATTGGTGTGGTCGGTCCGGACTCCAACGGTGTTCCCCCTTCAGATACGGGTGGTTGAATCCTGAAGATTCCATTTCACAAAGTTTCAGGTAATTAGTAGAATATGAATGTATTGTGAGACTGGTTAACATGAAATCAATTTTTACCATTTGGCAAAAAATTTCCCCATCGTGTAATATTTATCCGCATTTAAAGCTTCACTGTTTTAATGCTATACACTGCGTTTCATAATTATAGGTCCACCCTAAATTTTTGCTATTCCAAAGTTGCATTTTTGGAAAATGCCGCTATTACCAATAGTTTCCCCATAACGAAAAACCTTGATACTCGATTTTTGGAGAAATCTCGATTCAGAATTATTAAAATATCTTTTTTTAGAAGCGTATTTTCACCGTTTCGCAAATATGACTACACATCACTTGTCGAGAGATTTTATTACAACAAAAAAAACATTACAAATTTTCAATAATGGGATGGCCTCCATTGGTCATAGGGACCACACTAATACGTTTTAGAATTCTTGTAACCAAGTTAGCTATTACATTGAGATCGAAATTTGTCTGTGGCCGAATCGACGTTTTCAGCTCTTCCACTGTTCCGTTTTGATTTTCTTCGCTGTAGAACTTTTTTTAAATAAGGCCCGATGATTCTCCATTGGAATCTGATTTAGAGAACATGCGGGCCATTAGAGATTTGCCACATTTCTTCTTCCACATCCTTCTGGTGTGTAAGGACCGGCATGGATAGTCGCGTTATCGTGCATAAAAGTCAAGGATCGAGGGGGTTGTTGTCAAAGAAATGGTGAAATTCGCTCCAAAAGAACTTTACGATACCCTATGGAATCCTTATGAAAGGAAACAAAAGCGAGCTCTAGCCGCTCAGTCGTTCAAAGATGCCTCAAACCATAAGGGATTTTCCGCCAAAATTACTTACTTCAAAACCATCTGCGATTTTCACGGGATCCTCCTGTACCCTCTTTTTCTATCAGATCCACCTAGAATAACTTTTTCACGTCGATCCAGATCACCTGTAGCACCAAACAAGTAGGTAGTCTTTGATCGCGAAGGGTCTTCATCAGCCATATACTCGCTCAATTATTTGAGGCGTTTTCCACGACGAAATCTAGACGTGCCATCTTGTAGCGCTCCAATAATCTTAGAACGCGTTTCGTCAATCCCCTGAAGATGTTCTTGCACTGCTGGCTTATCCACTACACGAAGGTTTCGCTCAAGGAAGGCCGCATTTGAGCACGGACCTTGTTCGGACTCCTTGTATAATTCGACAGAAGACGCCCATTCCTCTTGAATCTTGAATAAAAAGTAAATTTCACCTACCACGAGTACTCTTCTTTCCGCACTGACCAGGATTTTGCACATAGTTGCTTGTACAGTATGAGCCGGTCGATATGATAGGCAGTTCTGCTCCTTCAGCCATCGAGCTACAGTCAGTGCGCTGGCTTGAGCTTGTTATTGGGAGGGGAGGCGAGTTATACGAGGTATGGTAAACTCGATATTCGACATGGCTCACATATATCCGCTATCCTGAATGAACCGCACGGATCCTGGAGAAATGGCAGAACTTTTTATGAGTTTCGACTCACGGATCCTGAGAAATGAAGAACTTTTCACGGATCGTGAGAAATGGAAACTTTTTATGAGTGGCCCGATATTCATGAAACGGTGAAAATTCGTTCTGAAAAAGTTAATTGGGTTACTTGAGGGGGAACTTTGTCAGAAAAACACTATGAAGGTTTTCCGTGATGAGGAATCTAATGGTGATAGCAGCATTTCCAAAAAATGCACAGCAACTTTGGAGTAGCAAAAATTTAGGGTGGACCTATAATTATGAAACGCAGTGTAGCTCACTGGGATTTCCTCTTTCCCGCATACTTTACATACCCTTAGATTGCATGTGCTCATATTCACTTGCTAGGCAACGCTGTGGAATGGATACATATGTACACAGTGAGTTCCTAGTATCGAACTGGTTGCTCGCAGTTGTAAATTGAGGAGCACATTTCAGTCTATTTAACAAGTGAGGGCAGAGTACGACGAAATGAACAAAAAATCTCTCGAACCCAAGAAATGGGACCCCTTCCTTGCCCGTTGATTTGAGCATTGATGCGACTCTCATCGCTGTGCCCTCTTCAACACTACGCTCTCTCTGCTATCTAATCACTCGCCACGTATAGACCTGCGGCGAGTGATCAGATAGTCGGTGGGCGTACCTCGCCAACCGCGCCAAGAAGTGAAGCCATGCTAGATAGCCGAGGTCAAGTCTTTCGCTGAAAATTGCGCGTCAGTCGGCACACCTCCAGAAGTGCGCCTATTTCTCAACTATGCAATTTTCCTCTTCTTTGACCTTCGTCTTATCGTGAATTCCTCCTATAATGAACACCTTCTGACTTCACCGATAACATCAAAGAATCTGCCGAACATGGTGCACGCTTCGAACTCAACAAGGCTCGTGGACTATTAGAACGTTATCTGGAACGCTGGTTGGAAGAGGTATTGCATAGTTAGAGCTAATGTATGCTAGAAGCTATCCAGTACTTAGGGTGCTTGAAGAAATCATGTAGTAACTTCAGGCTGGAACAATTGCAAGCCTTCTTGAGCCTGGAAACACATGACATCTATTGTGAAGACGCGCTGAAAAAGGAAGAGCAGGTGAAGGCAGAGCTTGCTTGGTTATGCGAAGGACGCTTCACAGGAAGGTCTTTTGCTTTTGTGTCGACTCTTTGCGATGAAAAGATTACTCATGTGTGCCATAGGCGAAATGACTTTTTTGACCTTCCCTCCCCCACATAGTATAGAAGGGAATGTGACGTGACTAACGGTCTCTTTTCGGAGGGCAAGTCTCATTTGTGTTCGTGGTATGGGTGAGGGAGGGTTCTGGTAAATATTAAACTCACTTAGGATAGTGGAGAGAGTGGGAATAGTAAAACATAGGGAGCCAGCGTTGATTCCGCTGTTTGAGCAGCTACGTGAATCTCTTCCTCATTGTAAGCTTTGCGGGGGGGGGGGGGGCTGGATGCATGTCACGTAGTACCCAAGAACGCTGCAGCGTTGATGGATACGAGAAGAGAGTGGCTGCAGCGAGTTCGCTGCTTGTGTCAGCAAAATTCTACGAGAGGAAAACTTTTGTCACCTGTTGTAAAGTAGTCGCCGGAAATGGCATGAAGATGTGGAAGTAAAGCGGAAGAAAGACAAAGTTCAGAGCGTAGTAGTAGCTGAAAATGCATCGAATTAGAATTCCTAGTAATCCTAACACTTATGTTTGGCTAGACCGATGATAGTGGGTGTAAAGCGCTCGTTCTTAGACCCCATTCAAATCTATCACTTTGCTTGTTCACGGAAAAGCGGCGGCTCATGCGATTGTATTGAAAATAATGCCACCGATGTTTTTTTGCCTATATGACGCATTAATTTTCTGTTTTTTTTCTGCTGTTTTTTTGCAAGCAGAAATGGCGACAACTGAAGAAAGGAAGTATTTCAGTCAATTTATGAATTTGCTTGCAGGATGTCAAACAGTTGGACTACTCGTGATGAGCCCTTGCACATGGGACGAGAAAAAACTGAGGGAACAGAACTTATAGCCATTCCTCATAATCTGGTTACCTATGTTCACTTCTATGACAGAGTGTTGCACCGAAAGAGATGGACTAAAGCAGTCAAAGGAAATCGTGCACAGCAACAGTATGATTGTTCGCTTTGATCAATTGTTCGCATGAGATTGGAGTCTCACAATATAAAGTGAAAACTACTTGTCCTTCCGAAGAAACAGATAAAAATAACGCAAAAGTTCTTTGCTCCAGGCGCTCCATATTAACAAATCATCAAAAGCCTGGTTATGGTGAAACAGTGCTCCGATGTTGTAAGCGGTAACACACTCACTCAAAAACTTATAGGAAGTGCGAGTTCAATTCCCGTGTGGGGAGAAGAGTTTTGCCAGTAACCCAGCATTCTTGCGAAACGTCGCGAACTGCTCCTTCAAATGCAGTCAACAAACGAAACAAATGAAAGCTAGGAAAACCCTGTTAGAATTAGCCATCCTTAAAATCCCGCCCACAACTATCACAAAAGTTAGCACCTCTTATTTTTTTGGAGGGCCTTCCCTCCCATAGTTCGTTCCTAACGCCCCCTTATCTCCACTCAAGTGTAGGCTGTGTCTACGAAATATGAATTCCTAGAGCTTGTTTCTTTACAAAAACTTAATTTTCGCACAGAAATAATGGTCACACATGCCGCATTTATGCGGAAAAGGAACACGGCACGTCAGTTCACCATCTCCTTTACGTGACAAGACTCGACCCTTGTGCAAGACGAAGACGACCTTATTTTTGTTCCGGAGTAAGCAGCAAAGTGGTGCACGGAAACAAGAAGTATCGTAAACCTGCATTTTGAAGCAGTTCTCGTAAAGCAAGGAGAGCGATAAAAGTGACAGCCAGTGCTACGGCCTAGGCAGTAGAACCTTTTGGAGCTGATCATTTTGCCAGAGATGAAGTCACCAAGACATGATCACATGGTTGCCACGTATAATAAATAACTACGTCGAGCAATACGACTCAGGAACTAGGGATTCAGGCCCTTTCATGGAGCGGTACGAGCAGCGCCAATCGTTCGTAGGAAATTTTCAACTAAGAATTCGCACTTGAGAATTTTGCTTGGCCTATTTGGCTTTGTAGAGGGTAGCCATGGAAGTTGAGGGGGTTGTTTAAGTGCGTGAGCGGCATCTGCGCTTCCTCGTTAAAAGGTTAGTTGTAGCCCAACGCAGGCATCCTGCCCGAATCACTATGGGGCCTTTCACTGTACTTTTCGTACATATCGCAGATGCTATCATCGTCAACGCTCACGAGGCGCGTGATGATCTGCCTGCAGCGTCTATGCTGGGTAACAAGATTGTGAGCTTCGCTTCCGGCACTCCCATACCGTAACTTCCGCAACTTCAATTCTTTGGAACACTAATATGTTCCAGGTGAATAAGAAATCACTCTCGCCCATTGGCCTCGAAGAGAAAGCAATTACCGAGATCACCTTTTCCAAAGCATTTGATTTAAGAAAAATTGTTCAGAAAACTAGGATACGAGCAGCCAACGTTCCAAAGATGGTGAATCATGTAGTATTTGCACATTTTGTAGCAATGGATTAGATAACTTACCAAATAATAGCAATGCACGCAATTACGATATCACGAAGCACTGTGATCCGTTCGTGGTGTCTAAGTTTTAATCCTTTTGTTTTAGGCGCTTTCTTCATCCAATGGTAGAGGTTTTCACTAATCTAAATGTACACATTGTGATGAGAAAAATGGGAAACAAAACTAATCAATTTCGAAGCGGACATGTATCGTGTTGAAAGCTACACATATATAGGAATTTAGTGCAGCAAAGATGAGAATTATGTGAGCGCAAATTGCGGGAACTGGAAAGGAGCTGGGGCTTCAGACGATATGACGCAATTCACCGTCGTGGCAGCGGGTGCTCTAGGAACAACGTTATTGTGTGCCTAACATTGCTAGTCGGCCTCAACGTCCATCAGCCCACCGTGGTTGAATGGAATCAACTGCGTTGTTTGCCGAATCTTCATGCTCTCTCGTCCCTGAGAATTTTTCTTCCTCCTCGCCTCCCATCCCTCATATCGCTGTCTATTCCTTATTCTTCTCAAAATTCTGGAGCAAAGAACTCGTTTTCGTGTTTTCGACGGTCTCACTTTACTTTTGCTTAGCCGGCACTCCCTTTTGCTTCCTAGTTTGACAGCCGAGCGCTGTTACCCCAAAACTCGATGCATGGGCGCGCCTTTGAGGTGTTGAGAGCCGAGCTTCCTTTAATTGCTCGTCAATGTTCACAGAATCTTTAGCAATGACCCAACGTCGGAGTGCTGATCAAATTACGATAAAGAAAAATCAGAAGACTGAACACCACTTTGGTGTCGGTTGAAAGATAATTCTATTAGGATGGTAAGAAAGTCCTGAGCCGTTTGACACTTTTTTGCTTTACTTTTTTATTCCGCGTACAATGGAATTTACTCAACAATATAATCACCATTGTTACTCACTACAGAGTCCCACCTAATGGGCAGGTCAGCGACCCCCTTCTCCCAGAACTGAGCAGACTGAGAGTCAAAGAAATCGCTGACCGCTCTTTCAACGTCTTCAACTTTGGTGAATTTTTTCTTCGCTAGGAATGCCTTAAGGGGATGAAATAAGTGATAATCAGAGAGGGCAATGTCAGGGGAATAGGGTGGGTGGGGAACCGCGTCCCAGATCAGCTCTTCCAATTTTGCACGGGTCTCTTTAGCTATGTGGGGCCTGGCGTCATCGTGGAGTAGGTGGACAGAAGTTCGTCTCGGTCGTTTTTCTCGAACAGCGTCCGCTAGTTTCTGGAGCTGACTGGCGTAAATGCTGCCGGTAGCGGTATGTCTTTGCGGGAGCAGCTCATAATACAACATTCCTCACGAATCCCAGAGGCAGCAAAGAAGACAGCTTTTGGGGTGAAGGTCCGATTTTGCTTGTGTCGGCGGGTCTTCTCCTCGAGGGAGCCACACGGCACTGTGCTTGTTAGAATCGTAGAGGACCCAACTCTCATCTCTCGTAATCATGCCTTCCAAAAACTCCTTTCGGTGCGGACAAAGAAGGAGAAACTGACAAATGGGTACCCGCCTGAACCGCGTGCTATCGGTCAAGACATGAGGGATCCATCGAGTCGGCACTTTCCTGTGGCGAGGGCGTGGAGGGGACCGAGGACTGTGGGATGGGTGCACCCGAGTCTTATCACAAGGCTGCGGGTGCTAACCTCCGGATCCTCTTCGACAGCGCCGAGAACGGTGGAGTCTTCCACTGTTTGGGGCTCCCCAACCTTGACTTGTTTTCGGAAACCGTGTCTCCTCCCAGAGTTTGGCAGTGGTGGGAGTGGTGTCTCTTCTCAGTGCGTTGCTGATTATGATGTTGACGGTTTCCACTGCTCCTGATTCATTGAAGATGATCGCTCGAAAGTGTCTTGTGGAATCGACATCATGATTAAAGTTAAAGAAGGCAACCCGGCAATATATACCTACTGCGGAGAAGTATGATCGACAGCGATAATCTATCATGTAGCAGATTCTAGGTATCAATCAATAAGCGAAAGTTTCGCGAGGTTTCGAAACAATTGGCCTCAGGACTTTCCTTACCGTCCCAATTAGAATCGGAGTGAGCTCGTCGAATCGGAGTCGTTTTGAAGGAAACGAATAAACATGATGCAAGCGCTCTTATTGTCTGAAAAATCTGTGAAATCTCAAACTGCGTTTCTCGAGCAAATTTCTAGAGTAATCCTTCATACCTGGGAGATGTATGCTGGACAAAAAAATATTGGTGATGCAGAAATAAAAAAGTATTTCGCATTTTCGTTCAGTTTCAACTGTACAACCCATTCTTCATGATTTCCTACTGTTTGTTTGTTATATTTTCCCTGCTCGCCAAAGTGTTGCTGCCTTCTAGTTAGAAGTTGCCACGTCTGTTTCCTTGCAGTGTTCATTGCTGACAGTCCATGGGTGACTTTTAGGCTTGCCGACGTCTACAATTGAATATATTCAAGGTAATAAAAAGCATAAAATACATTTGCACAGTTGTTACACACCTTCGACAGTGAAAAGGTTAGGACGGTACTATTCTGCTTTAGAAAACACCTCCTCTAAAACAACATCAACATCAGTGCATCACTTTGCTCAATTTCTGATCATAACAGTACTCTCTTGACAAGACGTCTATAAAAAGAAAGCCATTGCTCACTGCCTTTTGGAAGGATAAGCTTTGAATAATTTCCCTCTGTGGATTCGATTTCTGAGAGTGCTTTACCAAAACCCATTGTGAAGACGGAGAACCGGTTCTCGGCAGTGTTGGTTTTAGAAACTGAAATATGTATGCTTGTTTTGTCCTACGCATTTATTCAAGTGAGCTAAGTTTCCCCATTGGACTGGAGGCCTCCCATCTCAATCAAAGAATGGTCCAATGAGCGGTTGGCACACTGAATATCGATCGTGATCTTCATTGGCGAATAAAATAAAAGAAGGCGGGCGGCGAGAACTGGAGGGACCGGAGGGTTAACACGATAGGCGAAGATTTTTTATATACGAGCGGGCCTCTGTTGGGATAGGCGTTTTTCTCCACGATCATGATATTGATTAGATCACTGTGGTATGTAATTACTTGCTCATCAATATACAAAACATCTCCGTCAGCAAAAAGGACAGGAACAGCAAAATTAACTTTCTACTACTACTAAAAATCAAAAATGCATAACACTCGGCAATTCAACCAACAAATTGGATATTGGATATCTCCCTACAGTCTTCTTAACCACTTTGAGCGTCGCAGCGGGAACTCGGCGTCGTAGGCTTGTCCTAGAGCAAGCGCGTCTGAACCCGCGTACTATCTTCTAGTCGCCCCCACACGTCGATTGATTCGAGCGTCTCGAGCAGAGTCGGCAACGACTTATTTTCTCAACTTGGAGGGCCTTTGCGTCACGATGCAACAATTGAACGTGCTTCCCAGTTCTCCCACTCAGATCGACTTCGTAGTTGACTTTGCTACTTCTTAATTACATATAATCTGTGGTTTTTCCCACATATTTTCCCACATCGTTTTTCCGTCTAACATAAAAGACTTCGTCAATTTCGAATTTCTTCGGAACTGTTGCTACTTTTGTAGAACTTTTGACTAATTTCTGCGTGGGTGATTTTCATCGGAAGGAGTAGAGTCAAACGTGTGCGAAATGTTCTGTAAAAACACCTTTGCTGGTGTCTTGTTGCTTGAATAACCGTTTGGAGTTGTTCGGTGCCTGAAGAACCACACTCAGCGTCTTCTTTGACGGCTTCTCCTCCCTTTGATTTTCCTGATACCCCGTCTCTTCCTCCTTCTTCGCACATCATCTTGGATTGTTTCGTCGTAAACTGCTTTGCATTGCCGCCGATGGTGATCTGTGGCGTTCCATCTTGCAACATCCTGCTTGGTTCTTTTGCCGGTTGGCTTGCAGAGATGCTTGTCATCTCAATGATATCCGGCTATTTACTGAAACCATCCACAACAACCATGTAAAACAGTTTGAGCTGCGGCCCTGCGAAATCTACACGAGTTCTTTGCCATACTCAATTGGTATTGACCAATCTTCTCCCTGCGTTGGATTCTCCACACATTTTTATCATTCAGAACAGTTCGCGTTATTTTGTTCTGCAATGCTTGTCAAGTTTTGACCAATACTCGTACTTCTAGCGAGGTTCTTCTTCGTTCGATTCCTGGATAACCAACGTGCAGCGGACCTTGAATTGTAATTCACTTCGGGAATTCTTCCGTATCAGTCCATAGTCAGATGATCTTCGAATCTTAACCCACTCGCGACCGAGCGGGTTTTTCACGACTTCGCAATGTCAACCACCGGTGGCTGACATGGTCCCAGGGGAAATCCATCTCTTTTTTTTCGATTCTTTTTATGCACTTTCTACCACCCTGGGGGTTAACGAGGGTCCTGATCACGAATATGATATCCATTTTCGCCGCTGGCGCCAATTTGGCGCCATATGGCGCCAAATTGGCGCCAGGGCTGTTTTCACCAAATCTCGCTGAAAACTTGTGTATAGGGGTTATCGAGGCTCCTGATCACGAATATGACATTATTTTTGGCGCTGGCGCCAAATTGGCGCCATTTGGCGCCAATTGGCGCCAAGGCTGTTTTCACCAAATTCGCTGAAAACTTGTGTATAGGGGTTATCGAGGGTCCTGATCACGAATATGACATTTGTTTTTGGCGCTGGCGCCAAATTGGCGCCATTTGGCGCCAAATAGGCGCCATGACTGAATCGCACCAATTTCGCTGAAAACCTGTATATAGGGGTTATTTGAGGCCCTGATTACGAATATGACATTATTTTTTAGCGCCTGCGCCAAATTGGCGCCATTCGGCGCCAATTTAGCATCAATTGGCGCCAAATAGCGCCAATTTGACGCTGACACCAAAAACAAATGTCATATTCGTAATCAGGACCCTCGATAACCCCTATACACAAGTTTACAGCGAATTTGGTGAAAACACCCTTGGCGCCAATTGGCGCCAAATGGCGCCAATTTGGCGCCAGCGCCAAAAATGGATATCATATTTGAGATCAGGACCCTCGAAACCCCCATGGGAGAAGTTTCAGCGAAAAAAAAGTTTTCAACTTTTTTGGTGAAATTTTGAAGTCATCATATTCTTCCTTCAATAAAACTTTAGCGGGTGGAGATTTTCTCTGCCCAGGGGTAGCCTAGATAGAAGAGGGTATGTAGATTCTTCGTAGCGAAGAAAATCTTCCGAAGACCTCCTTTTGTTTTCAAAAATTCCATTCAAAGCCCGTCAGCCACCGGTGGCTGACATTGTCGCGAATGGGTTAAGAATTTTCTCTATACTCCTGTTCTGCCTTGTCGCTGACTGAAATATTGTCCAAATAGGTTGCTACACCCTGCTATCCAGTTCCATCTTGCTCATCACTTCTTACAAGGGAATGCCCTGAACTTCCTATGATTTTGACAGAAGGCCTAGCGAGAGAGGTCTTTCAGGTGGAGCCGCGCTTTCTCAAAACGGTTTTTTCGCATGGGATAGAGGGATGTGTATGGAGTACCAGACTGTGGTCCATTTCCGCTGAATGGCCCTCTGAATGTCGAAAAAGGAAAGTGATTTCGTCGAATAATGCAATTTTTGCACACTCACTGTGGTGTGTTTCATTCATGGCGTGTACTGCTTGCATAATAAAGGGTTCCTGCAGGCTGTATCGAAACAAAGACATTCGGTCGAAATTGCAATAGTCTGTCGTGGTGTCTTGTGCTAAAGAAATTGTGGACATTTCATTAAGTGCATTTACTATCACCATATAGCAAACCTACGGTGCGTGTAGCGGTTAGCCATGCGGACTTCAATTATCACGCTTGGTAGAGGTCGTTGGTTTGGATCACCAAGGGTCAGAATTCTTGCATTTTCTGTTGGCACTTTCAGAATGTCTCCAAATTTCACACAGTGTCAAATATTAATAACCCAATGAGGTAAGTTTTCACCGAAAGCAGCAAAAAAGTTGTAACGTCGAAATGGCGCCAGAGAGCGGCGGCTCCGAAAAACAATGCCATATTCGTGACCAGAGCACTGATTTACCTATACCCGAAGTTTTGAGCAAAATCGCATCTTGACCAAACTTCGAAAATTTGCACCAAACATAAGTAACTCTTCAAGTATTCCCAGTCGCTTGAAGGCGAGCTCCGCGCGGAAAACTAGCAGAAAACTACTGCATTGTGGGTGACCCTCCGACCAACATCAGCTTGCTGTCTGCTATAGTCTATTCGGTAGGAACATTCTCATTTTTTGAGAGGATCTAGAGAGGTCATTTCCAAGAAGTTCACCGTCGAGCTTGACGTGCTACAGAGTTTACTTCTCATGGAGCAATTTTTCGAAGTTGGGTCAAAATCTTGATTTTCTTGGAAACTTCGACTACAAGGGTTATCAGGTGTCCTGATTACGAATATGACATTCGTTTTTAGCTCCGACATCATTTCGGACCCCTATGACGCTGTTCGACGGCACGTTGGTGCCGTTTCTTGCGTCACAACTTTCTCTCACTAGTTTTTGGTATACGCCCACTTACAAGGGTTTTTGGTCCTAATTATGAATATGACATCAATTTCTGGTGTTTACGTCATTTGGTGCCAATTTTTGGCGTCAAATCACAATGCAAAAATTTTGTCACCGCGGGGAATCGAACCAAGGACCATTTCCCACTCCTTTTTTGGCATTCAGAGGGCCATTTAGCGGAAATGGACTACAGTTCTGTACTCCATGCACATCCCTCTACATCATGCAAAAAACCCTTTTGAGAATGCGCGAGTTCACCTGAGAGGCCTCCCGTACATCGGTATTCTTGAACGCCGATTACAAATAGGGACTCTGAAACTGCTTTGTGAACACTCTGACAATGTTGTGGGCCTTCAAAGTTGGCAGAAGACGGGCGCCGTTTCATGAGAACAGCTAACCGCTGAAGAACAATGGAGCGGCGGCGCAGTGGTAGAGCTCTCGCTCTGCAAGGCGGCTGGTCGTGGGTTTGCTCCCGGCCGATGCGAAAGTTTTTGCACATGTTTTTCATATTCGGCAAGGGCTGTTATCCAACTTTTTCCATTCATTCAGACAGGCGCCTTATGTGAGCGGGTAGTTATAATGTTTGACGCGGGAGTCGACTGTTTTGTCAATGTATGTAGAGCCAGCATCAATAAGATGCGCGATTTGCGAACAACACATCCGCTTCTCAAGCTTCATCAGTGTTGCATGAGTTCTCCATATGTAATTGTTTGGAGTTATTATCATACCAGTTCGGCTCCGCTCGCTTTCGCGCGCATGTAAAAGTCGCCTCCAGCAGACTGAGCATAGCCGGGCTCTTGTATTGAGCAGCATGCATGCATTTGCTAGTAATGTGCGTGCAAAGAATTTCACTCATAGAGCCGGTAGTGATTATTTAAACATTGCAAAAAATATACCTGCTTCTTTAACGCAAGCACAATTCAAGCGACGAGTATCTAACATGATACTCAGAATTAGAAGGTCATAGTATTTTTTGAGACTGATTATTGTAACTCGTTATTCTTAGAATGGAATTGATTTGTAGTTGTTTCTGTTCAATTATGATTCAATAATGGTATTAATTATTTCTCACGTGTGTGCCTTATGCAAACGTATTAAACTTATCACTTATACCTTGATTTGCATTGACTGAAGCCTTCTTACAGTGACTGCTCGCTAAAGCTGTAACTCCTCATAAGTTCACACAATCACGCCATAAACATCCATATTTTTCGCGAAAATTTCCATAAACATCCATCATTTTCCGAAAACTAACACGGTCTAGCGGCCGATTAGGCTTGGAATAAGCAAAACAATTACTTTGCTGCTCATTATCACCCTTAGCGCGAACAACCACCATGCCTGGATGTTGTAGTGATTTAGCGGTCGGATACTTTTCTATACCGGTGACATTGAATAGAAACACCACTGCTTATCGTGTTTCCGCTCACACCGAGTATTTTGAGGAACTCGGGCAAATTATCGGTCTGAAGGATGCTGACGATGATAACGCAAGTAGAACGAAGTGTTCTCCTCATCGCGCATATGCAGATTTAGTGAATTCTCCGTTTCGAGCTAATCGCTCTTATCAGTCCTCATCAGCTGTTATCAGCACCTTATTGCTGCTGGGCCGCGCGTTATAAATTTCGTGACATTTGCGCTCTAGCGCTCCTTATCAGCCCTTATCAGTTGTATCGCTTTCTGTCACCCACCAACAATGTCCCGTCCCACCCCACATAACACTTGTAAGTATGGTTGCTCTGGTGTCAACGCGAGCCAGGTAACGGAATCGACGACTTTTGCGTTCTGACGCGCCTTATCAGCCCTTATCAGTTGCTATCGCTTTCATCACCCAATGTTCCCGTCCCACCCCACATAACTCCTTGAGCATAGTCGCTCTGGTGTCAGACCTTATCGGCTGTTAGCACTTTCTGGCCCCCATGAAATATGTTCCCGTCCCACCGTGTTCATCATAGTTAGAAAGCAGCGCTCCATGGCTGCAGTGAAGCGCGGTATGAATTTTGTGACAACGGGCGCGCTTGCATGTACTAACAGACATAATTAGCGAATTATGTATAGAAGGATAACCAATCGTTGTTTGTCACTGGCAAACGATCAAGCTGGTAAGGTGTTGCGTGGAAGGTGACAGGAAGTGATAATTAGCTACAATCGTACAGAAGAGAGACAGGTTTATTTTGCATGCTACTGTGCGCACTACCGAATGATCTTCACCAAATTTGTAACTTAAACTTTATCTGACGCATCTTTCAAAACATCTTACTACATCTTACTACTGGTTTCTCCAGCCACGCTACCGAATCTGGAGGTTGTCGAGTGCGAATGAATCCCATGTGATGCGCGATGTTGCGTGTGGAGCTGAACTGGTGTGAGATAATGCTCAACATCGCTCTTATCTAGCTC